CACCCTGGGTAGCCGCAGAATACTTAGCTAGGAGTCGGATTGTGTTGCATGTTGTGTACTGTTGCCGCAATGTTGCTAAAATGCTTTTAAGCCTAGTCTGAAGTCATTCAAAGGGGCACATGGTGGTAAATGGCATATGAAAAGAACAGGTCCTGTAAAGCACACATGGGGTATGAAAGCAGGGCCACAACAAAAGAGTTAACTCAGAAGAAGAAGTGGAGGAAGAGTAGCTGCCACAGGCTCCCAACTATTGTATTGGTGTGAAGTGTATATAGCAGCCAGTCAATAAAGTGTGGAACCTGACGTAGACGAAAGATCCTCTGGTAGTGAGGGGGTTTGTGTTCTGGCTCCCTCCCTAGTGGTTGGTCCCCCCAAAGTATCTGGGACTGAACCTGTGGTACAGGGAGCCCATGTGCCTTAATGTTACAGGACAGCAGTAGGAGTTGAATTTGTACATGCATGGGTTCTGTGCTAGGTGCACAGCAGGACCCCATTGTGCCACTGAGAGTGAGGTGGCAGAGTTGTACTGGACTGGTGGAGAGGACATAGGCTCAGCAGTGTCCCTCCTAAATACAGCATTCAATGAGGAAGATTGTAGTGACACGGGACAGAATGCTTCACAGAGGAACTCTGTAGGTCATACAGCTGAACAGAATTTACAGCTCATCTCTCAGCCAGGGTAGCTCCATAATGCTGACTTTCACATGAACAAGGCCCCACCTAGTCCCGAGCATTGATGAGTGCGCACACCATATAAAGGTACCCCTGCATGCAGAGCGAGTAGGTCCTGCCTACAGACTGGCTGATGTTTAACTCATTTAAGCTGTTATGCATCTCAGTGTAAATACAAGGACCACTGCAAAGTTGGTTTGGGGGGCAGAAAACACAACTAAAGAGAAAGTAGGGGCAGCAATAGGGCAAGAGAGCACAGACTTTACACTTTTCACACCAAGATTTTATTCCTCAGCCCCAGACTTTACTAGTGTGTACACGTGTGCTATGATTTTCTTTTTTTGATCCTTTAAATTTCTGTAAGACTCTCATAGCATAATAATTACAGAGTATGTCGTGAGTACAAGTACCGCAGGCTGTGTACAGTGTGTCCCGTATGTAGCTTTACACTCCATTTAACCATGCTCTTAAAGAATATGTGAACCCTCACCTTGTAAAACAAGCCATTCCCTTTATAATAGAAATTAAAGCTAAAACATTTATGTATCACATAAAAAAACATTATAAATACCTCTTTTTTTCCCTCGTTTTTAATAAGTGATCACATTCCCTTTGTTCTCAGCTGCATGAGGAGCTCAGGAATGAGAAACAGCATTACACAGATCTTCCCAGTGAATGGCTGTGCAGGGGTGTCAGCACAAGCTTGATCATCAAATTAGCTAACACTGTGATTTTCTGCTTAGTATGGTCAGTTTTTAATAGGAAAGCAGAGGGACTGGCAGGAACACCAGAGATTTCACTCAAAGGAAGCAATACAAAGAGAACAGGATACTTTTTTATGCAAAGTACGTGGTACAGCAGGCACATATCAGGAAGAGGAAATGTTAGGTTGACATATTCTTTAACCTCCTTAGCGGTATTCCCGAGTGTAGCTCGGGATAAAATTTCAATACCAAGAGCGGTAACCCCGAGCTACACTCGGGCTTACCCTGCGGCATTGCTCAGGGGGTCCCTGGAGCACTTACCTTGTCCTTCGCTCCCGCGATGTGTCCCCTACAGCGTCCCCGGCCATCTCCTCCGGCCGATGCCGGCAACAGGCTTCTGTGTTCTGGTCCCTGTGACGTCGGGACGTACGGGCGCCCGAACCGGCGGGAAATTTAAAATTTTTTAAAAATGTCATTTTTGCTGTCATTGCTGTTTCAATGCATTTCACATATATTTTGTCCCTACTGCTTTGTCCTGTGCCCTGCCTGCATTTTGACTGTTCTTTCTGTCTGGAAACTTAGAAAAGTCCATGGCGTCCAAAAAGCGTCCCTTTATGTCAAAAGCGGTTTTAGAACAGCGATAGTAAATCAGAACCACTTGCAGAATTGAGTGATAATGATTTGTGGTGAAATTCGTCATCAGACACTGAAAACGATTTTGCGACTTTGCTCAGCGATGTGCGAATTTGCCTCTGTATTTCAAATTTCAGTGTTTTTGGTTTGATTATATTATTGAATCAAATTATTATTTTTTATGTTTATTTATTAAATTATAATTTATGATTTCGTGTTTCAAGTTTTATCATATCCGGGATGTTTACTAGACTCTTGTTCGTTCAGATTTCAGTGAGTTATTCCTAAAAATTACAGCCTACAATAAAAAACTACATATTTTTCCATGCAAAAAAATGGTACCGCTTTCAGCACAAAAAATTGGAAAGAATCATACCGCCAGGGAGGGTAAAGCAGAGCTCCACCCAAAAGGGGAAGTTCCACTTTAATGCTTTGTCTCCCGCTCCCCAATAAAGATTGGCACCTTTGGGGAGCGGCCTAATCGATTGGAAGCGGAAGTTGTCTTCCCCCCTCCCTCCCCGTAGTCTTGTGGGACACGTGACAGATCCCAGAAGATTACGGGGGCCATTCACTTCTCGCACATGCGCAGTGGGCACCCGACTGTGAGGCCACAAGCTGTCACAGCTGGGTGCCCACACTAAAGATGTTGGCGCCAGGAAGAGAGGATGGCCGGTGAAACCAGCGGTGGTGAAGACACTGCTGGACTGAGAGACAGGTAAGTGGCTGTATTTTAAAAGTCAGCAGCTACAGTTTTTGTAGCTGCCGACTTTTATTTTATTTTTTTTTAGCTGGAACTCCGCTTTAAGTCATTCCCAATACTCAGCACAATTTAGCTATGGTCATTTTTGCCATGGTGCATGTCTCCCCCGCCCCATGGTGTCCATCATTCTCAAGCTCCAAAGTTTGGAGGTATATAGATTATGGAGGGTAGGTTTTCAGTGGAGATGATTTGTTTATACCCAAACCATGTGAATAAAACATATGTTCAGTTATCTAATGTCTGATAATCCAGCCCCAGTAGGGGCTCATCAATTGTTGGGCACCATACAAAGACCGAACTGTGTTCTTCCTTTTGACTTCAATGGCTTTTAGTCCTTTCTTTGCTGGAGGAAGAGAAGGAAAAAAGTGGCAAAGAATGATGACACACATCAGGGTAAGATGCAGGGTTCCTCAAACACAGTCAAACACAGCAGTGTGCTTAACTGAGAGCCTGCAGCTAATTATGTTCTAGTTTCCTGCGCCTAGTGATGTATGAAACCAAGCTGCAAATTAGATATTTATGACTTTAATAAAAACCACTGAAAATCCACATATTGACGTTTATATGGGGCATGCAAATGGAATTAAATGAGCACTAATGTATCTTAACATCACATTAGGAAAGCAGTTTAAAAAATAAAAACAAAATAGCTAGAGATTTGTACTAAAATCATGGCAGTGTTGGTGCTTGCTTATTTATGGCCATCATTGTATTCCAATGTTTTGCCTGGCTTTATGGTAAATGGCAGGGAAATACAGCTAGCAGTGGAGAATCGTAAATAGCAAGTACATTTATATGAAGGAATTATGTTAATATGGAAATGAACTGTAGATATGAAAGACTTTAAAGGAGAATGCAGTCAGGACTCTACAGTAGTACTGCAGGTTGTGGTCCTTAGATTTCTTGTTCTATACTTCAAGTTTAGCTGCAAAGCGGTTACATAGCATAGTAAGGCTCCATGCACACTAGCATTCTTATAAGATCCTAGATGCTATTATCAGCATTTTGTTTCTGCTCCTAGCAGCTAAATAGTGTTGCCCTATGTGTCCATGCACACTATTTTAGGCTATTAGCATTTTTTGAGCTTCGGCATCTAGAACAGTGGTTCTCAACCTTCCTAAGCCGCAACCCATTAATACAGTTCCTCATGTTGTGGTGACCCCCAACCATAAAATTATTTTTGTTGCTACTTCATAACTATAATTTTAAAGTGGGAGGAGTAGTGCCACATCATTGGTGTCAGTGGGAGGAGTAGTGTCCCATCATTGGTATCAGTGGGAGGAATAGTGCCCCATCATAGGTATCAGTGGGAGGAATAGTGCCCCATCATTGGTATCAGTGGGAGGAAGGAGTGCCACATCGTTGGTGTCAGTGGGAGGAATAGTGCCCCATCATTGGTATCAGTGGGAGGAATAGTGCCCCACATTGGTATCAGTGGGAGGAATAGTGCCCCATCATTGGTATCAGTGGGAGGAAGAGTGCCCCATCATTGGTATCAGTGGGAGGAATAGTGCCCCATCATAGGTATCAGTGGGAGGAATAGTGCCCCATCATTGGTATCAGTGGGAGGAAGAGTGCCACATTGGTGTCAGTGGGAGGAATAGTGCCCCATCATTGGTATCAGTGGAAGGAATAGTGCCCCACCACCATTGGTATCAGTGGGAGGAATAGTGCCCCATCATTGGTATCAGTGGGAGGAAGAGTGCCCCATCATTGGTATCAGTGGGAGGAATAGTGCCCCATCATTGGTATCAGTGGGAGGAATAGTGCCCCATCATTGGTATCAGTGGGAGGAATAGTGCCCCCACCATTGGTATCAGTGGGAGGAATAGTGCCCCATCATTGGTGTCAGTGGGGGGGGGGGGAAATAGTGCCCCATCACTGGTGTCAGTGTGGGGGGGGGAATAGTGCCCCATCATTGATGTCAGTGTGGGGGGGAATAGTGCCCCACCATTGGTGTCAGTGGGGGGGGGGGGATAGTGCCCCATCATTGGTTTTAGTGGGGGGGGGGGAATAGTGCCCCATCATTGCTGTCAGTGTGGGAGGAATAGTGCCCCATCATTGATGTCAGTGTCGGGGGGAATAGTGCCCTATCATTGATGTCAGTGTGGGGGGGGGGGAATAGTGCCCCATCATTGGTGTCAGTGGGGGGGGGGAATAGTGCCCCATCATTGCTGTCAGTGTGGGGAGGAATAGTGCCCCATCATTGGTGTCAGTGGGGGGGGAAATAGTGCCCCATCATTGGTGTCAGTGTGGGAGGAATAGTGCCCCATCATTGGTGTCAGTGTCAGTGGGGGGGGGAAATAGTGCCCCATCATTGATGTCAGTATCGGGGGGGAATAGTGCCCCATCATTGATAGTGGGGGGGATGGGGGGGGGAATAGTGTCCCTATCATTGGTGTCAGTGGGGGGGGGAATAGTGCCCCATCATTGGTGTCAGTGGGGGGGAGAATAGTGCCCCATCGTTGGTGTCAGTGGGGGGAGGAATAGTGCCCCATCGTTGGTGTCAGTGTGGGAGGAATAGTACCCCATCATTGGTGTCAGTGGGGGGGGAATAGTGCCCCATCATTGGTTTCAGTGGGGGGGGGAATAGTGCCCCATCATTGGTGTCAGTGGGGGGGAGAATAGTGCCCCATCGTTGGTGTCAGTGGGGGGGAGAATAGTGCCCCATCGTTGGTGTCAGTGGGGGGAGGAATAGTGCCCCATCGTTGGTGTCAGTGTGGGAGGAATAGTGCCCCATCATTGGTGTCAGTGGGGGGGGAATAGTGCCCCATCGTTGGTGTCAGTGGGGGGGAATAGTGCCCCATTGTTGGTGTCAGTGGGGGGAGGAATAGTGCCCCATCATTGATGTCAGTGTGGGGGGGGAATAGTGCCCCATCACTGGTATCAGTGGGGGGGGGGGGAATAGTGCTTCATCGTTGGTGTCAGTGGGGGTGGGTATAGTGCCCCATCGTTGGTGTCAGTGGGAGAAATAGTGCCCCATCGTTGGTATTAGTGACACCAATGATGGGGCACTATTCCTCCCACTGACACCAATGATACTTACCTTACTGACCCCCTGCTCCAGCCTGGGCTCGCTCCCTCCCTCTCCATCTACAGCCAGCATACCTGGCTGCAGCAGTACCATCTGCACGGTACAGACACTTACCGGTCAGATGTCTTCCTTCTCCGACCGCTCCCTCACTCGATCTTCTTTGATCATCGCGCTGCCGCTCAGCTCCTCCTCTCTGAGCTCCACCTCCTTGCCGGTGATTGGCTGCCTGTGTGCCTCTCCTGGGCTACAGTTCCAGAGGCCAATCACCGGCGAGGAGGCTGAGCTGTTGATTGATCCCGGAGGTGTGGCCAGATGACAGGGGCGGGCAATTCATCCCGCCCACACATCGTGGTCCAGGGAAATGTGGGCATACCTGCATGTGGGCGGACCCGCCTGGAGACGATAGAGGAGCGGTGTCTTGGTTCCTAAGACCATCAGAAATATGTGTTTTCCGATGGTCTTAGGCGACCCCTGTGAAAGGGTTGTTCGACCCCCCCAAAGGGATCGTGACCCACAGGTTGAGAACCACTGATCTAGAAGCAGAAAAAAAAATTGTTTTTGTAGAGTTTTTTGGAGCATTCTTCCAGCAGAAAAAAAAAATGCTAAATGCTACTAAAACGTTCCTAACAGCTTTTTCTAGTTTTTTTTTCCTCTACACGTACTGTAAAAATGCTAATAGAACGCTAACGCTCCTAAACAACGCTATTACCAGTGGTTTTTATCCAGCATTTTTTGAGCTTAAAAAAAATGCTAGTGTGCATGGAATCTTTGATGATTAGATGACGGAAAGGATGGGTGAAGATTCACGCTAATATTTAGTGCCTATTCACACCAAAGCTACATAGTTACAATAGTTACAAGTCCATCCAGAAACCTTTCCGTGTTTGGAGATTACATTTCTTTTCCTCCAGACATAGAGTGCCCCCTTGTCCTCTGTGATGACCTCAGGGTGAATAACTCTACACCGAGTTCACTATATGAACCACTGATGTATTTATACATGTTCATCATATCCCCCTTAATCTCCTCTTCTCAAGAGAGAATAAATTCAGTTCCTCTAATCTTTCTAACCAGAGCATGGTGCTGGAAATCTGCGTCACTTGTGAGTTTTCCACACTGCATTCACTGGGTGTGTAATCTGTTGCGGGTATCAACCAGGGGCGGGACTGACAACTCATGGGGCCCCCCGGCAATAGGGGATCATGGGGCCCATGTATCCTTGCCCGAACTCAAAAAAGCCTATGAAAAAGGTACCAGGGGCATCTCATGGGGCCCCCTACTGACCCCGGGCCCTCGGGCAGTGCCCGAGTTTCCAAATGGTCAGTCCGCCCCTGGTATCAACAACACCCCAAATTCAGATCACAAACACAGTGCATTTGCCTACACCGGATCGAGTGGTACTGTAGTACCATGCAATTTGGTGTAGTGTGTTTTTGAAAAGTTGTGCATGCACCACCTTTTGTGCGATTCAGTGCAATTTCTGTCTATTCAAATGAATGGGGTGAAAATTGCACTGCACTGCGCTTCAAAGAATTCAGGTGTGAACCGGCCCTTAGTTTTATAAATCACGGTCTACCACAAACAGTTGCTATTTTGTAAAATAAAATATTTGTTTTTACCTTTTATTGCATTTCAGAACTGCAGGCTTTGCAACCACGACATGTCTACATGAATGTGCTGCAGCGAATGTTGCTTGGCATTTCTCAGGGTGAGTTTCTTCATGGTGGCAACAGGGGAACATCTACAAGGACACTTGTTGTTTCCATTGGAAGCTCCTGTTACCTAACGGAAGTATAATTAAATGACAAGGAAAGAGCACTGTCACCCTGTAAACTGAGGTGCCAGAGCAAGGACTTTCACAGCAAGATCACCAGATATTATTTTATAAGAGAAGTGCGGGAATTGAAAATAACAAATATTTATACTCACCTAAATGAATGAAGCATCAATCCGATACTGCTGCTGTATGCTGCCAGCTCAACACCGAGAGCTGAGCGATCAGAAACTACTGATCACTCAGTTCTCTGAACACACAGCGGTGGCTGTCAGTCAATGTCTTTCTGCTCTGCCCCTCCAGTGCTCACCGAAGTGCCAGAGTGTGGAGAGGGTGGAAGCATTTGGCTCAAGCTCTAAGCACCCCTCTGGAAGGCTGAGCCAGCCTAATGTTTTTGATTAATAATCCAATTAAATAAAATGTATTGAAAATATGTATTTTGCCTATGTGTCTTTATGGACACCTGTAGTTCCAGTGACCAGGGGGGCCACAAGGAATTTCTCTAATTTGCAGGGATTTCCTTTCACTTCCTGTTTTGCTATGGGACAGGAAGTGAAGGGAAATGGGACACAGATGGCAAACAAAAAATTTGTCACGTTTTTTCCACAAAAAAAACGGATCAGTTTTTCATCAGTTTTTGTCGTTTAGATCTGTTGACATCCGTTTTTTGTCCATTTAAATCCGTTTTTTCATCCAATCCGGTTTTTTGTAATGGAAGAAAAAAAGGGTTTTCTTCCATTCAAAAAAACGGATGTAAACAGATGGGTGTCTGTTTTTTCTTCTGTAAATGGACAGATGAAAAATGGACATACGAAACGCATGTGTGAAAGAGGCCTTGGTGGTTTTTTTTACTGAAAATTTGCACTTGACAAACTGTTGTGCTAATATTTTGTGACATGAAAAGTCCTTCCAGGTAAAAAATGCCAGAGGAACAGCCTTTAGTTTGGGTCATGTTGCTTGCCAGCTATGTCAGAATAAACTGACTTGCCAGTGATGTGTTTGGTGTGTGACCTTTTGTGTTTGTCATATGTGTGTGGTGCATGGATGGTCACCTGGGACTGGCACATCCACATGTCATAGTTACATAGTTAGTCTGGCTGAAAAAAGACAAAAGTCCATCCAGTTCAACCATTAAAGAAAAAAAAAAAAGTTGTAATCCTATACCCACAGTTGATCCAGAGGAAGGCAAAAAAACCCAGCAAAGCATGATCCAATTCGCTCCTGCAGGGAAAAAAAATTCCTTCCTGATCCCCCGAGAGAGAATTGGATATTCCCTGGATCAACTTTGCTTATAAATGCTACCTCTCTCTATCAGTCCCTCCACTGGCTTCCTTGCCCAACTAATAGAATTCAAAATACTAACAACAACTTACAAAGCCATCCACAACTCTGCCCCCAGCTACATCACCAACCTGGTCTCAAAATATTAACCAAACCGCTCTTTTCAATCCTCCCAAGACCTTCTGCTCTCTAGTTTCCGTGTCACCTCCTCCCATGCTCACCTCCAGGACTTCTCCCGAGCTTCTCCCATCCTATGGAACTCTCTACCCCAATCTGTCCGTCTGTCTCATAATCTAGCCACCTTTACATGATCCCAGAAAATCTTTCTCTTTAGAGAAGCCTATCCTGCTTCTTTAAAGAGAACCGCCATTTATTTCCTCCATCAACTCATCCCCCCACAGCTATTACCTTTTGTATCACTCAACCTTTCCTCCTAAATTGTAAGCGCTAATGAGCAGGGCCCTCTGTTTCCTCTTGTACCAAATTGTATTGTAACTGTAATGTCTACTTTCATTTTGTAAAGCTCTGCGCAAACTGTTGGCGCTATATAAATCCTGTATAATAATAATAATATATGTTAGTATCCAGTTATATTCTGTGGATTTTGTGGCCTTTTTTAAAGCAATCCACTGAGCTGGCCAGAACCAACTCTTGAGGGAGTATATTCCACATTTTCACAGCACTTACTGTGAAGAAACCTTACCGTGGTTGGAGATTACATTTCTTTTCCTCTTGATGTAAAGAGTGCCCCCTTATCCTCTGTGATGACCTCAGGGTGAAATAGCTCTACACCGAGTTCACTATATGAACTACTGATGTATTTATACATGTTGATCATATACCCCCCTTAATCTCCTCTTCTCAAGAGAGAATAAATTCAGTTCCTTTAATCTTTCCTCATAGCTGAGATCCTCCATGCCTCTTATCAGTTTAGTTGCCCTTCTCTGTACTTTCTCCAGTTCCCCAATGTTCTTTTTGTGAATTGGTGCCCAAAACTGAACTGCATATTCCAGATTATTATAATTATACAGTATTTATAAAGGGCCAAAAAGTTTGCTCAGCACTGTACATTATAGTGGGGGACAGTACATGAGACAATACAGTGACAATACAATACACGAGGGGTTCGAGGGCCCTGCTCTTTAGAGCTTACAATCTAGGAAGGAGGGGATAGTGGTACAGGAGGAAGTGGCTGTGGGGGATGGAGTAGTAGGAGGAGTGGAGGAGATCGGCTGTTAGGTGAGGGTGGGGTAGGCTTCCCTGAAGAGATGGGTTTTCAGGGTGCGCCTAAAGGTGAGGAGGGTAGGTAACAGTCTGATGGATTGGGGTAGTGAGTTACCAGAGGATGGGGAAGTCCTGGAGAAGTCCTGGAGTCAGGCATGGGAGGAGGAGACTAGGGAGCTAGAGAGTAGGAGGTCTTGTGAGGAGCGAAGAGTACGTGTTGGGTGGTATTTGGATATCAGGTCGGTGAGGTAGTTTGGGGCAGTATTATGAATAGCTTTGTACATCAATGTTAGTAGTTTGAATTCTATGCGTTGGGCAATGGGAAGCCAGTGGAGGGAATGACAGAGGGGTGTGGCAGATACGGAGCGGTTGGTAAGGTGGATGAGTCTGGCCGCTTAGTTCAGGATAGACTGAAGTGGGGATAGTCTGTGATGAGGTAGGCCGGTGAGGAGGGAGTTGCAGTAGTCGAGTCATGAAATAATAAGGGAGTGAATGAGTTGCTTAGTAGTGTCTGGGGTTAGGAACGAACGTATTTTGGAGGTGTTGCGGAGGTGGAGCCTGCATGAATTTGCCAGCGATTGGACATGGGGTTGGAAGGACAGATGGAGTCTAAAGAAACACCTAGGACTTTTGCTTGCGGGGTGGGACTGATAGTGGCGTTATTGGTCGTGATGGAGAGGGTGAGGGGGGGCGCGGGCTGGGGGGAAAACTAGGAGCTTGGTTT